ATACTGTGGTTGAAATAATAACAAACAAAGTATATCATGTTTACATTCCTATTGAGAAACAATGTTTCCCCAGAAAAGGATAGAATACGTAGAACCCTCGAGAAAAAAAACCAGTAGGAAACTGATTTGTTGTTGTTTCTTAACTATCGAACTGTAACTATATCTTATTACAATAAAAATAAACTTAGGATACGACAAAACGAAATTATAATAATTAATCTAATGGTAATGCGTAGGCCGTCCTTTATTTTCAATTAACTCAATTGTTCGATTGTGTACGTATATATACATACATACATAATTACATTACTGTAATTGCGTAATTACATTTATGCATGTAAATACCGTGAAACTGTAGCTATGTAGCTCGCAGGAACACATTGGTCGTTTGATGCTTCTTCCATGTTCGGCGGTTCGTTGTATACTTGAATTCGGTGCCAATGTTTCTTGTACGCAGCCACAATTTGCGATAAACTAGTTCACACTAACGCATACACTAAGTATGTAAACTGATTCGAAATCTACGCACAATAGAAACCGCTTTATTCGAGAGAGCATTGAATTTTCTACAAGATTATGATCGCACGGTACAAACGTCGTTCGTCGACGCACTCGTTCGGTAGGCCTCTAGACAGCAACTGCGTACGTGACGATTTGCCCGATTTCTGCTCCCTGGCACGCAGCATTCTGGGAAAAATCCTAGGCGTGTGAGTGACCCTCAAGTATGTACGTGGGCCTAGTCAACCTCACGTACCAAAACATTGCCCGAAGCTCGCGATATTTTTTGCTAGTGAAACATAAGAAACTCGAGGCAATCGTAAGAAATTCGAGCCAGAGTCGTTGTCTGTATTAGATCGAACTACACACGAAGCTACGTGCCATTTTGAAAGTAAAACTATCGCGAGAGAGAGGGATTGCTCTCGAGAGTATCTCTCACGAGTGGACACTACCCCTGAGCTGGACTGTCCGAGAGTAAAGTCAACTGTCTGAGAGTGAACGTGTCCAGACTTGTTCTGGAAGGGGTACGTAATCAGACTGCTGTCGGACAGTTGCTTTGCAAAGAC